TATGAATAAACGTCATTAGATATTTTATATCATAAGTTTACATTGGATAGATAGAAAGATACTGGTTTATTTATTTAGGTACCTATAAATAGATTTCTGAACTATATGCGTATCCAACCTCAGGGTACTTACCTACCTAAAAAAATCTAGTTCCTTAATACCGACCGAGTAAATTAAAGAAAATGACACCGTCGTTAGTGTCAGTACGACATAACCGTGAGGTATCTAGGAGATATTAGTATAAGAAAGAGCTGACAGAAGAAACTTCTACTTACCTCATATCTACCTAGTTCTTTCCTTACACACATGTCATGTCGTAAACAGGCACAACATAATCAAAATAAATCAGACAAATTAGCGCCATGGGCTCGAGCCTCTGTGCCCGGTCCACGGTATTAAGCTGAGCTCTAGCCTTTTGCGCTGCGACGCACCATAGGCTTTTTTTGTGTTTCTAAATTCTTGTTGTGTGTCGTAGCAAAATAAGTGTTTTTTCTTTCTTTCTTACATAATACCTACCTACATGCTAGTCCAGTTATAGTAGACTACTTAGTTATGCATTACATTAAAGTAATATGTTTTCTTTGTTGCCAGGTTCCGTTTCTCGGGACGCGTGCTAGGCTTGGCCCTCGTGCACGGCTACCTACTGGAGGCGTGGTTCACGCGCGCGCTGTACCGAGCGCTGCTGCGTCTCCCGCCCGCGCTGGAAGATGTAGACGCTCTCGACGCGCAGTTCGCTGCCTCATTGCGCTGGTTACAGGTTAGACCACATCTAGCACTACATATTTAGTTACTACCACGTATTACTATCACTGATCAGTCATTGTTTAAGTGTTTCATTAAATGTTATTTGATACAGAGCTTTCTCGATATTTATTTTAATCCCATACTTATCTCGAGTAGTCGGGTAAGTATATACTCAGAAGCCGATAGAGAGAGAGTAGTGATGAGCCTAGTTTGCCTTAGGATACATTATAATGTCTAAATGTTTACTTAAAATGATATAGGTACCTAGACATCTGAATAATGTTTCGTGTTCAATGAATAATAAAGTTATGTACTTATTCCAGTCAGCGCGATGCGTGTCGTCCCTGGAGCTAACGTTCGCAGTGTCGGAGCGTCTGGCGGACGGGCGCGTGCTGGAGCGCGAGCTGAAGCCGGGCGGGCGCGAGCTGGCCGTCACCGAGCGCAACAAGAAGGAGTACCTCGAGCGCGTCGTGCGCTGGCGCGTCGAGCGCGGCGTCGCCGAGCAGACAGAGTGGCTCGTCCGCGGCTTCCACGAGGTCAGCTTACTTACACTTACTAAAACTACACTCATACACTTCCTCGGTTGGATTCAACTGCCGACATAAACTGTCTGTGTAAAGACGAATCCGCTGCTAACGTTGATCAGCTTTCACCAATGACCTTAAGTAATTACCTACATACACGTTAACATTAAAAGTGTTAGTGTTAGAAGTCAAGGCAAAGGTCTGACCATAATAACACCTACTTTTTTGTTATGGGCTTTTGAGTCCTATAGTATCATAGAGTCCAGACACGAATTCGGACTGCACAATTACTGTGAATTTATAAAAATCTAAGATACTTCTCCAAAGCCGGGAGTCTAACAGGCCTGAAGAACAGAACTACATTAATAAATGCAACTAAGTCGTCTAGCCTAGATAGTTAGTTACCTTTGTTGGTTTAAAATTCGTATCCGAAGACAAGTACAAGACGCCATCTATCGAACACAAACCAAACACGACGTATAGAACCAACTCACTATTATTTACTCCACTGGTCCTATTGGTAGTACGTAAAATATTTTATATCAATCCACATGCATCAGTAAACTGTTAAATAAAATTATTTATGACTTACTCGTATTACCAATGAATCTCACTCAACAAATGCTAAAAAAGCTTAGTGCAGTGTACCTTTAATAGCGAGCCAGTTGAACCATTGAAATTGAACCAAGTATGAACGAAGTTTCGTAGTAGGAGGCATAGTTTCTGTCTTCACAAAGGCGAATTTACGTATTTTATTATTTATGAATTGTAAATAACGTATGTATTGTGTACAGGTTGTGGACCCGCGGTTAGTGGCGGCGTTTGACGCGCGAGAGCTGGAACTGGTGATCGCGGGCGCGCCCGAGCTGGACGTGGCGGACTGGAGGAACAACACCGAGTATAGAGGGGGCTACCACGACGCACACCCTGTCATCATCTGGTTCTGGCAGGCCATTGACAGGTAAATATTCCATCATTCATTATGTACAATGTTAAACTTTATTACCCCGAAGTCCTTATTAAAATTACTAGACAGACGGTTACAAACTACACAAGTGAAGTATTTTCTTAATATAGCTACCAAAACTGAGGTGTTGGTCTGTTGGTAGTAAAATCTAATAAAAACAATATCTGTTATTCAAGACGATAAAATACTTCCTTAATATTTACCTACTGCCCTTATTAAATTAGATAACAATGGGCCTAAAGAATTATTAGTAATTCATCTGACCCCTATCAAAATATAAATCGCTATAATAAACATGCATACATGAACTCTCATCTTTGTCCTATGAGGTAGGACAATGATGCAATCTGTTACTGACACCAGCTTGTAATATACCTTTTTTTTCTTTACTAAAACCGTGCATTTTCAACAGGTTCACAAACGAGCAACGACTGCGATTGGTGCAGTTCGTGACAGGCACGTCTTCAATCCCGTACGAGGGCTTCTCCGCACTGCGCGGCTCCACGGGCCCGCGCCGCTTCTGTATCGAGCGCTGGGGCCGCGTGGAGTCCCTGCCCCGCGCTCACACGTGCTTCAACCGCCTCGACCTGCCGCCCTACCCCACGCCGCACCTGCTGCATGAGAAACTGCTGCTGGCTGTCGAAGAAACCAACACCTTCGGCATCGAGTGAACCTTGCGCCATCGTGAACTTTGATCAAAACGCTTTTCGTACTCTACATGTGACGATGTAGTACGGTGAACATTACTTAAATAAAGCTCAAGTAGCGAATGCTTCATATTACTCTGAATACTAGGACTCGAGCCCACGAGTTATTACGGCTGCGCCATTGCCATTCTTGTGGTAAAAAATCTTATCTGGCCTGGTACGATATTCGTGATAAAGTACCACGTTTTTTTCCCCCGCTTAGTAAAGTTGTAATAAATATGTAAGACTAGTAATCATAACGAGTCATTAACATAAATCATGACTGTCAAGAAGTTTATTCAACCACAGAGAGATTGAGAGTACCTATGTATGGAGTATTAAGAAAACGTATATTAGAAGCTGTAAATAATTGTGACTAATTACAAGTATTGTTGTCAATGTAAATAATAGTCAATTTATAGTATAACAGGCAAACAAAGATAGAAATATTTTAGCAGTTTAATAAAGAAACATGTAGATGTGCCTAGGTATTTATTATTATTATTATTGTAACGGGCCACGTGACCTACGAGGTTTGTACTTTATTATCGCTTTTGTTATAAGTGAACGTATATTGTGGCTGTGAAATGGGACTTAAGTCCTGTGTTTAGTAATTACCTACGCTTTTACGTCACTAATTTATGTTATAATTGTAACCTATATCACCTTCGATAAGAACATCAATTTTAAATTGTGAAAACGAATATTATTATGTAAATTAATAATTGAATTAAAATAATCGTTTCATAATTCACAAGTTCTATTAACATGAGTAATTCAAAAGTATTAAATAATTAAGTTCTTTATCTTCAATTACAAGCAAACACTAGTCAGCTACATTAAAAAAATGGAAATAGAATTAGTGGAAAATATCAAACACTTTTATAATTTTGACAGTCACTGCTGTGTGAACTTAGCTCTTCAGTTCTCTAACACCAGATGTACAATATTCTACTATAAAAACTTCATTACCTATATTAAATCATGATTAAACAAATTGCAAGTTCAGTAAATAATTTATGTTCCTTTGTTATATTATTTTTAATTTAATCAGTTGTATAATAAATATAAATGGTCATGCTGTGGTTCATAATAAATAGTTGATGCTCCTCTCAACATTCAGATATAGGACAGTATTTTGCCTCGAGAATGTAAATATCTTATTTATTGTGCTTATCAACCAACACTTATGTGTCATTGATGTTTATTTTTGTAAGTAATAATTCTATTATGTTGAATATTTAACTCAAAATGTGTATTGTTTTTATTATCTTAAATTTTAAGTAAATTGTTTTTGTGTGAAAGTGATAAAATGTGTCAATATACAAGATAACTTCAGTTCTAATGCTTTTATTTTACCCCTGATAAGTTACACAAGTGTCAAATCGGCACAAATTATTTAATTTAGGATTTTATTCACTAGCTAGAGGCGGGGGGAGGAATTGAGAAAATAGGAAAAAATTAAGAAGAATATCACACATACAAAATGTTTATTTTTTCTGAAGTTGTGTAACAACAAAAATCAACCTTGTTATTTTTAAGAACTTATCTTTTAACATATATCAACTATTTACAGTTCCCAAAGTCTGCATTTTTTTCAACACAAACTCACATAAAAATGCAACATGGGTTACTTTGCATGATCTACTCTAAATTGTGACGGAGTTAGTTCATAGCTTGTCACAGTCAGTAAGATTAAAATCCTTATTCCATAAAACTCAGTTAAATCATAAGCTGATGTGATTACAATATCGTAAAAGCTACTGTTATTATAGTTTTGTATGCATATTGTAGCTATGTGAATCCAAAATTAAAAACTCTTAAAAATAATCCTCCCCCTCTACATCCTACGTGATTGGCGAGCAAGACTAGTCAACTCCCTATAACCTTTGTCAATGTAACCCGATGGTCAATAGTAAATTGAAAGGTGTTTTCCGAAGAAATCAACTACATTTTATAATGTAATATAATACACGCTTGTGTAAATATTTTGTATATTTACTTCAAAAATAACGGTACATACAATATGTTAATTTGTAACTCTATCGAAAGGGAGAAGAACGAAGGCTCACTGTGAGTCTAGCCAAGAGAGGGAAAATCCTTGCTGTCATCAACTTTAGGTGGTGCGACCTGCGCGCGCAATGGCGGGCGCTCCTCCATCGGCTCGGGCTCGCGTGGCGGGCCTCGGCCTCTACCGCGCCCGCGCCCACGACCACGACCTCCAGTGCCGCCGCGCCGCGCTGTGTCGTTGAACGTGAACTCAATGCCGAGCACACGCTTCTGACGACCCACGCGCTGCGGATAATCGGCCATATCATATTCGTCATCGCTATCATCATCCTCACCTCTTTCGCCTTCTTTCTTCTTCTCGAGCATCACCAAGTTCTTCCACTGGCTGAGGTCTTCGCCTTCCCCGGCCTTACGCAGGTTATATTGCGGCTGCGTGCGTTGGGCATTTCGGAGTGCTTTGTACTCGTCAAGTGTGAGTTCGCGGGGCTCTTCCTCTGTAGGAGCAGCAGCGCGCTCGGCCTCGGGTTGCTGTCCATCACCAGCGCCAGCTGCGTCAGCCGCCTTCTCCTCAACAACCTCTCCTTCAGAACCGGTTTTGTTGAGTTCGTCTATGTCGTCCTTGATTGTACCCCAATTGTGAGGGCCGGCGCCCTCGCGCTTGTCTACTGGCTTCACGCCGGTCTTGTCAGAGCCGGATCTCCTGTCAAACTCACGCTTTCCTCTATTGTCGTACGGACGCGGCCCGCGCGGTCCGTCACGAGCTTCACGAGGCTCACGAGGCGGTCTAGGCCCGCGGCGTTCGGCTCCATCAGGATTGTCGCTGAAGTTACGTCGCTCATAGTTGGGCCTACGATCACCAAACTCACGCCGAGGTGGTCGCGGAGCTCCATCCTTGTTCTCGACGGCACCGTTCTGCGGCCGATCCTCGCGGCGACGCGGAGGAGGACGCTCAGTGTTGCGTTCATTAGGCCTGGCAGGACCCTTGGCCTTCTGTTGCTCACCACTCCTATTTTCTTGAGACTTTACATTCTGGGTTTCCTTGATACCTTTCCTGGAAGCGGGAGCGCCACCTTTAGGTTTGATTTCAGGTTTGCCCTTGTTCTCTTTTTCGGCTTCTTTGGTTTTCTTTTTGAGCTCCTTCGCCTGCTCTCGCGCTTTTAACGCATCAAGAGGATCGGACTCATCGTCCAAGAAAAGAGCGTATCTGTTCACAACTCCCACACCGTAGGAATTCTCCATTGTGATCCTCTTGATGATTTAATCACACAATAACTGGATGTTGGTGGATATTTTCACGCACTTTAGTAAGGCGACATTTTGTCTTATTTTATTGATTTCATTTAATATGGCGGACGTAAGCGAACGCACCTAATACGCCATATGACGAAAAGGAATAGAGAAGAGAATGAAAATGGCGGAACAGTTTTCTTTTTAAATTTTTGTCTATGGTTTTCGATCCTCTATTTTTAAACCAGAGACATTAGTATTACTGATATTCTAATAAGGCAAACTTAAGCATTAAAAAAAATAAAGAAAAGCAGTTTAAGCAATAAAATGAGGTTACTTACATTTATTCAATGTATTTATTAGAGATGAAACACTAAAATACGTTTATAATGTCGAGTGTATTACTGCATAAATTCAAATCTACCTTTTTAGAGTAACCAATGAGGGTTACCGTTTTTTTCGACCTCACCAGACAGCGCCAATGTAGCGTGAGGTCCAGATGGTGTTAGCATACGATCTATCGTCGGCCTCCGTCAACGCTGATTGATTAGAGTGAGACGTCCTTCGTCAGTGCCGTCCAGTGTCCATAAAAATGCGAATGATCGTTTTGTAGCGAATAATGAGCCATTTATAGAATATCTTTAACAATTCTATTCTATACTACGGAATTCACAGTAAAAGGACTATATCAACTTAATAGGAGGTTGGCCGGTGAAAGTTACATCCAGATGGCGCTAGCATAGATGAACCAAACCCTATCGCAGCCATTATTTGTTATTGCTATGTTTTAAAATATAAAAACGCGATTCATTAATTTTAGACGCTCTATTAACTGTAAATATCAATAGGTTTCTATACTCAGCATTATATATTCCAACTGGCGGTTCACAGAAGTGAAAAATGAATTGAAATGTTTCGTTAACGTACGTGGAAAGCCTTGCGGGGAACTTAACGGGGTAACCAGGGCTCGGCTCGGCGTACAGGAGAAGGAACGGGGTGGTTTTTAGTCAGTAAGAGACTGACAGTCCCTCCCGCCTCTCGCAGGCGGGAGCAGTCATTCGATGATTTTCCCCCTTAAAAAAAAGCCAAAGGCCTCTGCTTCGAACGGCAGGATGTTATTCGTAAAATCAAATGGTCTGGTTCTCGAAAACACAGCGGCGTTGTAGCAGGCAGCGAGCGGTGCACCAAAGAGTATAATAAGTATAGGCGAACGGTGCACTCTAGTCAAGCAGTGCCGACCAAAGAGTATAATAAGTATAGGTGCCGACCGCGCCGCCGCCGCCGTCACCCCGTTGCCCGCAAAATTCAAGGCAGAGGCCTCAATGAAAGTTATGAAGCTTGGATGAATAATTAAAATGTATGAACTTATGCTTAATTAATGGGTAGACATAATATTATATCCAAGCTCGAATGTCTTTTCTTAAATAATAATTACTTAGTCAATAATTTAGGTATATTAATATTCTTTTTCTTTGTGTACAAAATGTATCGTCACGTTGTATGCTAGGTTTCCCTATACTCTTTGGTCTAGGTTACCACAAGCACGGCTCCGCGTTTTTTTGGTTTGGAAAATACAAATAGGTTGTAAGCGCGCCGTCAGCGGGCGACGCGGCGGCTACGCTCAGCAGGCCAGCTATATATACTAGCGTTATGAAATATGTCATATTTCGTATGTGCTAATGCGTCCACATTTTTTCCGACTTTGCCTTCATAAATAAAAGTCAATTTATTGATCTCTCAATATTTACTTGAAATTTCTATACAATAAATTATCAAAACGCTAAATAATTACTAATCCAAATTATACTACCTACGTGTGAAGGTTCATTTTCGACACGGATTTTTACAACCGCCGCCGCCGCCACCAGCTCCACCCAAACAAGTTTCCATTAGCAGTCCACACACAAGGTACGGGTCAGCATCACCACCGGGTCTCCTATCCTCCATGAAACCTTTATCTTTCTTTTTAATGTGTCTCTGTAGACGGATAGATGCTTTTCTGTTAGCGACACCCCAGGAGAATTTATCAAATGGTGCCGTTTCAAATCTTCCGGACAATCGCATTCTGTTGGTTGTCTCATCATTACCGTATGCTCTCATATGTTTCATATGGTTCTTTTCCAATTTCTTGATGCATTCTTCAATAAAAGCGTATCCACCGGGAGCAGTCCTCATTTTCTTTGTGCTGAAGTTATGATGCATACCAATACCTGGATGCAGGTGACCGAAAGGTTTTGGATGATATGTAACATCTATCCCGTAATCCTCTCCGATGCGAGACATTATAAACCGTGTCATCCACATATCATCTGGAGCTTTGATACCCATTGTTGTACCAACTTGCCACTCCCAACAGGCATACATAACTTCTCCGTTCGATCCTTCGTAATCACAGCCAGCGAATAGAGAAGCTTTACTATGGGCTTCAGACAGATCTCGACCTGCTATATATTTCGCTCCAACACCACAATACGAGTACTGATATTTTACCGCTGGAAAACCGCCTCCTTTGGGCCAGCCCAGGCCCCATCCATCAATGTCCACCATAGTATACTCCTGCTCCAGCCCGAACCATGGTTCCTCAGCTTTATGTGCTTCACACAAGTCATTACAGAAAGTCCTGTGATTTGTCGCTGCTGGTTTTTGGGCCTCGCCAAGAAGTACTTCACATAAAATTATAACGTGGGGATCGGCTCGGAATGGATCCCTATATACTGCAGCTGGTTTCAGTGTCGTATCAGAATTATCCGTAGTAGCCTGCCCCGTCGAACTGCCATCAAATGCCCAATTTGGTGCTGCATCTGGGCTGTATGGAACACAATCCAGGATACGATCTTTGCACCTCATATTTATGCCAGAACCATCAATCCAAACGTAGGTAGCTAATATTTTATTACACGGCAAAGGGAGTCTCAAATACCGATCCAATACCTTTTTGTTCATGATGTGGTTAATATTATGGGATCCTAAGCTTCTTATAATGATTGGCAAAGTATGTCTAGGTTTTCCGATAATTGGAAGGCACTTCCTGAGTACAGATTCCATTCTGTTACTTGCAATTTATTTATAATTTTATTTTAAATTATAATTATAACAATTTATAAAGACAATTACTAAAATTTAGATGTTTTTGAAAATGAGCAATTTTCGAACTTAGTTGTTTGCTCTTGTTTTTGCTTTTGCTTCTTCAGACAAATTTAAAAGATTCTAAAAGTGTATTTAAAAAAATTTGAATTTTGAATCAGTCAATTTTAACGTGCCAGTAATTATTCTATTTTTATAGCCGAACCTTTAAACACGGTATTTGCAAAGTCATGAACATTTCGCCAGTTTCGCAAGAAGTTTCTAACACTATTATAAAATAGTAGTAATAGAATTGTAGGTACAATTGTCAATATTTGTGATTTAAACGTGACCGTATGTCTGCTACTCGGTATAACCTCGCGAATAAATTACAGATTTTTTGTTATTATATCGACGTTGGGGGGTGGTGGGGACACCAAAATTTAATAAATGCTGAAATATGAAAGGTACATAATTTTGGCTCAAACACATGTTTCTGCAAGAAGAGCGCAGACTCTGTATGGATCACAGTCTCCTGCAGGCCGGCGATCTTCTAGAAAACCTTTTTTTTTAGTCTTCACACTTCTTTGCAACCTAATCGAAGCAGTCCGATCAGCAATGGCCCACTTACATACATCAAAAGAAGCAGTTTCAAATTTTCCAGTTAATCTTTTCCGATTCTCTTGACCGTCTCCGAGACCATAATGTTTCATATAATCACCATGTTTAGCACACAACTCTTTACAAACTCTTTCAATTTCTGTAATACCTCCTTCATCACGCATTTTCTTAGTGCTAAAGTTATGATGACAGCCAATTCCTGGCTGATTCTTACCCACAGGCTTAGGATGGTAACTAATTATTATTCCAAAGTTTTCAGCTATCCTCCCCAACAAGTACCGTCCTAGCCATAAGTCATCTGCCGCTTTAATCCCTACCGTTGTCCCCACTTGGTATTCCCAGGACCCTTTCATAACTTCTGCATTAGACCCACCATAGTCCATTCCTGCATAAATGCATGCTCTAGCGTGACATTCAGCCAATTCTCTTCCAGCGATGTGTTCACCCATTCCACAGTATGAATATTTAGATTTTATTACGGGAAATCCACGTACTTTTGGCCAACCCAAGGGCCATAAATCTGCATCAAACATAGTATATTCTTGTTCTATTCCAAACCATGGCTCCTGATCTGAAAGTTTGCTCAATACATTTGCACAGTGAGCTCTGTGGTTTGTAGGAGTAGGAGTGCCATCACCATAGTACGTTTCACATAAAACAATGACGTGTGGACTTTTTCTAATTGGATCTTTATATAAGGCGACTGGTAATAAAATGGTATCTGAATCTTCAGTTCTTGCCTGTCCAGTTGAACTTCCATCAAAGGCCCATTTCGGCACCATATTTAAATTACAAGGGACTTTATCTAAAACACGATCTTTACAACGCATATGGATACCACTGCCGTCAATCCATACATATGTGGCAAATATTTTATTTTGTGGTAATTTTAGATTTGTGTAATGAAACATATATGCATTTAAAGGTCTGTCGGTCGTTGTTAAACCCGTGGAAAAGTTTTCTTGGCTGAAGTTTCGCACTGCATGGGACTTGATAAACACTTTAGATAAAACTTTGTTCCTTTGGGTAAATACAGAATTTAATATTTTGAAATACATTATCAAAAATGTTAGTTTTATAATATAGATTAAACTGTGTGTGGGATATGTTATATTATAAAAACTATCAATGAGTTGGCCGTGGAATCTTCCACCTAAAACTAGCAAGCCATGCATACACATGAAACGATAACATATAGGTGGATAGTTATTAGTGCTTAAAAATAAAATAATTATTAGAACTTAAGAACTAAACCTTTTATTTATAATACTGGTATTGTCCAATTCTACATATGAAGTCGGATCATAGATAGAACATAGATAGGAAACACCTATAAACTACTACCTACTTGACACTCTCTAAACTAATTGATTAATAGCATCAATCGTAGGCAGCCTGAAAATAAAAATCATTACACAATTATTTCTCATCTATATTATCAGATCAATGGCTGCAAGCCTTTCCAATCAAAAAAGGCTTCAGTAAAACAGAACAAAGACAAAAACTAATTCAGATTTTCAGCTGTCAATATCAACTGTCAGTGTCAATAAGGAATACCTGTCTGTCGCCTGATGATTGTTTATTTGCCATTGCCAGTTCGCATGTCACTTGTGTGATTATTTTGAATTTGAATATTTAGAGTTTTTAGATTAACTAAATACTATATTCACTCCGCATATACGTATTGCGTTCGAAATGAGTATTATATCGGAAGTTGAAATTATTTATTAATCAATTTCATCGACATGGAAACGTATGTATATTTTCTATGTATTTATAATTTTAAAATATATTACGTGAAAACCTATTAATGGTTATATTTACAAATATAATAATAACAATCTCTATCAGCAGGTTAAGATCTTGTATAATAAACAACAAAAGACTTTGCTGTTAGAATATAAACTAGTACATTGCCTATTTATAAAGGTTACTTTACATCTGCTACTTACATCTCTGTACTCCTGCACCACTTAGGTTAACTAGGAGACAATACTCAAGGCATTAAAGTCCTCCTGTACGCACATTGTTTTAAGTTGAATAGAAATAACTATAGGCATTTGTAGGCAAATCCTAAGTTTAATATAATGAAGTTTATTTTTTAATTATAGAGTAAGAAATCATTTTCAAACAATAGATAAGTACTTTCATTAGGCATATTTGGATACACAACAAAATAAGCAAAATACGAGATAGAACCTTATCATGAAATGTAATGTTAACAATCCTATGAATGTACAGGACAAAAGTGAATGCTGCTTTCCTTTGTAACTATGAAGTGATGCAGATCTTGCAACAGCTCAAAGACAGCACACAGAAAAAACACAAACGTGAAGGATCACTTGCTACAGTCACCTATGAGGTGAGTTTTTCAATGTTTTTTACCAATAATTTTCCATTCATTTACTATATCTATCAATATAAACTTTGTGTTATGATATTATACACTAAATACTCTTGCGCGCTTTCACCCGCTGCTTGGCTCCTATTGATTGTAGGTTTAGGTTAGGCTATGAGCTATAGTCTAGTATAGCCTTGTTCGATAAATAAACTATCTGTCAAAAAATTTTATTTAATTTGTACCAGTAGTTTGGATCGCATTGAAACAAATATACTCTTTAGTTTTATATATTAGTATATCCTTTTATCTGTTGAAACACAGGCTCCCGGTATAAAACACATTATACCCGCAACTTTCAACAGACAAGAGGATATGTTTCTAGTTTAGCTTAACTGATCAATCCCTGGTCACTGGCAGTCATCCCAAGCAGTCACTGGTGATTGCTCGCAACTCACTCCATTATAGACCTGATTTCTGATGTTTAGAGACTACTTTTGTATGAACAAATTTTGGGGATTTTCAATACAATACATCAAGTGATTAAATTAAAACTGATCGTCACATTACCAGAGCTAAATACTTTGTAATTTCAAAGCAATCCTCATGCCCATGCGGTAATCGAGTCAATTAAGGCACTAAAAAGAATTTTATATGATGTGAAAGAAATTATTCATTTAACATTTCAGACCGTACATTACCTACAAGATACAGACTGTAAAAAGCAAAATCCAGCTTCTATAAAGAAGTTTCTAGATGGTTTGAAGAACTTGAAGTTAACAAAGACTGAGAAACTTATGATGGTCAACACTCCTCCCAGAACAGAACTGGAGATTCAACTGGTAAGCACATAGTTAATTAGTTACATTCCAAGGAAACTTACAATCTAATGTCATGAAATAAATGTGACCTTTAAAAAGTAGCTCTCCATGGTGTATGATAAATACTTTCTTTTGAATCACTCTATCTATTTAATAACCACATCCAAATCCGTTGCATAATTTTAAAGATCTTGGCATAAATAGGGACAGACAGCATGCAGTAAAGAAATTCCTTATTGTTTCCTCTATCCGTAACTCTGTATGCACTCTTTAGTCTCTTTAACTTTATTGTACACATATCATACACAAAACAATGTATTTCTTTAAGAAAACCTTTTTTCAACATATCTACAAAGTCATGAATGGTAAGCTTTGGTACATAATAAGGACAGATTTATCATTATTTGCAAATTCCATACTACAATGGTCAATTACATACATTCATACATAATCTCACGCCCGTCTTCCATGGGTAGAGTTAGAGACTATGGAACACCATTGCTATGACTTGTACATACCTCTTTCACTTCATCGACAGTCATCGGCGTTTTCGTGCATGTTCATCAGTTAAGGGTACTTTTAATATGTCCCTTCTTTATTATATCGCTAATCTCGTCAATATCGTGTCCGTTTAAGGCAATTACAATAACAAAAACTACAAAATAATTCACCATATCTTTATTAAACCTAGACTTCTTTTGGACTTAACGCCTTACTAGAGTTCTTATACTAAAATTAAAATTGATCAGCTATATTTATTAATTCATTCATCATCACCAGTATCATCAGCTACAAGACATCCACAACAGAACAAAGGTCCCACATTAAACCTCCATGTCGAACAAACAACTCGAAACATGCATTTACTGAACTACAGTGAACTAAATTGAGATTTTTTTTACAGATTGCCCAAGAAAGTGAAGAGCGTTTGTCAGAAGAAGATGTCCGTAAAATAATTAAGCTAGCCAATGAATGTCTGCCTGCAAATGACTCCTGACACACGAAAACAGAATCTAAAAACAATGAAATTGAATAGTAACGAACAGTGATATCTATTGTATTTATTTTATTTGTTGTTGTTAGAATAAGTTGGTCCTTATAGTCTCAGTGCATTTAATATATGTGTAGATAATGACTCTATCTAACAACAGTTGAAACAATGATGATGATATCTCATATTTAATATTAGTGTACCTACTTAGAAAAATAATAAAATGTGGTCTGAATAATATAGCAGGTAATTGAAGTAAAAAAGTTTCTTTGTTTATGCATGTTAATGACCTTTTTACAGTAAATTGATAACTGACACAGAAACTATATTTTTATAGGTACCTACTAGGTAGGTAACAAGGTAAGGTTTTACCCGACCATGTAGATAGGTAATTAAAACTGAGCTGCGTCTATCTGTGTAAACCAGTGTATTTTATGCAAATCACACTAATATTATAAATGTGAAAGTTTCTTTGTTTCGATGTTTATCCGTCAATCATGCTGAAACTAGTGAACGGATGTTGATGAAATTTTTATAGGTAAGTACCTACACGCAAGGTATGGGCTGACTTAGGTCATAGGATACTTTTTATCCCGATTAAATGCTCCCATGGCATAAAACAGGAATACGAGGGCAAACCCGTGGGTAAAAGCTAGTATAAGATAATACTGTTTTCATTAGACATTGCACCTGCCTAACTTACTTAAGTAGATACCTAGGTACCTACTTAAAGTTACATAAACTGACTAGTTATCAATTAAAGTTGTAGTAATACGTTGTATTACGTAAGTAAATACCAAAAGTAGTTTTGTTTTCACAGTTTTAAAACCGCGTGTGCAATGCGCAACCGGTATCGTGCGTAACAAAGATCAAGGTCACCACGTGTTTTTTCATTTTATTTTTAGGTTATAATCACGCTGTCATGTTTATCTGTTTTATCAGAAACATTATTTAATCGTTTCATTGTGTTTTTTATCGTGAAAGTGAACAGTGGAGTGTCGTGGAATTGTGCTATTATTGTAAGTTGTTTTGTTTTATTTTTGAGCGCATGCGTAGATGTTTAGAAAGTGAGGTTATGTATGTTATAAATAAACATTAGGGCAGGTTATTTAAAGGTTTCGCGTTATGATGTTGGTAGCGCCTATTTTATTATCGTCACTATGTAATAGGTAAATAAGTTAGATAACCTAACCAAACTTTGGTACCTAAGTACATAGATAAAAACCTTTGTTCTGTTTTCAACTTTTTAACGATTGTAAGTAAGTAGGTACAGTAAGTAACACAGTGTAACGACTTACCATGTTAAAATGATGAATGGTTACATATTAGTGATGCTATTAATTTTTTTCAAGATTAAAACGTAGGTAGGTATCTATATTTTATTATTATTTTGTATAAGTACTTACCTACCTATCTACTTAGGTAAGTAATGCACTCATCTAAGTACCGATTTATTGTCTGCAAAGTATAATGACCGAATACAATATGTACCTACATTATTGTTGTTGTTTATACATCTCATTGAAATGCATAACTCATTGAATTACATAACTAATGTAACTAAAAAAGCCGACAGTCTTCCTCTGAATGGGTACAAAGGTTCTTATTTACATAGACTTATTACCTTATTATCAGAATTTGTTGGTATACGTCATTAACTTATTAAAACAAGTTTTAATACACATTTTATTATATTATTTCAGTGTTAAAGTTGAAGCTGAATTAGAGCCATGTCGGTGTCTCGTCTGCTCCTCCACCGGGCTCCCGGCAGCCCTCCAGCGCGAGCCGTGATGATGCTGAGCGACATGCTAGGCCTGCAAATGGAATATAATGACGTAAAATTCTTGCAACTAGAACATAAGTCCCCCGAGTTCAAAAAGGTTAGTAAAGTGAGCTAGATACTTCATTCTACAATTTAATGAATACGACCATAAATTGGAATGTAGTACTTTTATTGTAAAGTTGCTTTACTAATCTAACTAGCTTTCCGCCTGCGGTTTCACACGCCTATTTTACGAAATAAATAAACCTTTTTAAATCAGTTTATCTATTAAAAAAGTCCATCAAAATCTGTAACATAATTTTAAAGATCTAAGCATACAGACACACAGACGGCGGAAGCGAGTTAAAGAGTGTTTTATTTAATTGTAATTAGTAAACCTAATGATTGAATAATGGATTTTAATTATTTCAGTTAAATCCCATGGGTACAGTGCCGGTTCTCCAAGATGGTGACTTCATTGTTTCTGAAAGGTATTAACGATAAAGTATAAATAGGTAGTATATGTCGAGGTCGGGTTCGATTCCTGGCTCTGACAAAATATTTGGATTTTCTATTTTTCAAATTATGTTTGCTCGATGTAGAACGACAGGTTCGACATCTACTATTTACATGAGACTCATAAACTCAATTTACACCGCCGCGAAATGCAATAAAAGCTAAATTCTTACAACAAAATTGTCATTATTAATATTGAAATGATAAGACCACAACGGTAGCATTATCTTGCTTCGATTACCTCTCTGGGTTATCATCTTTCATACATATATATATTGCTTGATAACATTTCTACTGCTGGTTAAATAAAGGTGGTTCGATGTACGTTGTAGCATGTCAAAGATATCATAATCTGATAAAGAAATAGACGGGTAACGTTACTCAATTTTAAGTCGTGCTTAAATATCGTGCCATCTCTGTCATTTACAAAGAATTTGTGGAGACAGAACTTCACAGAACTATACTTAAGCACGACTTAAAATTGAGTAGCGTTTCAGTATTCCGATATAAATGTGTTACTAAGTGCCAAACTTGAGAAAGTTTTTAGTAATACATTTTTTTATTATTGTTTTTCGGCTTACTGTTACTGTTTGACGAGGAACTCGACTAGTTTCAAGCCATACTAGAGGCTCATATTCATGAGTAGCATTCCGCGACACACGACGCGGCGACTGTCGCGCTGCTACTCCTAAGCTGCTGCTGAGTAACCCGAAAAACATTTTGCTTTTATACCACAAAGGTGGCAAAAAAAACCAAACGCCCCACCTAATGGTAAGTGTATGAATAAGTACATATGTCTCACGAAAGTTAACATATACAATAGACGTTAACCCGTTGAAATTCATCCCCTAAATTTGTCCATACAAAAGAAGTCTCTAAACATTGGAAATAAGATCTATAATGTAGTTAGTGGAGAGCGGTCACCGGTTACCGCTTGGGGATATATGGGTATTGGCCTAATATAATAATACTATGTATATGTATGTTCTCAGCCACGCCATAATGAAGTACCTACTATCTAAGTACGGCGGTGACAAGCGTGAGCTGCTGTACCCGAGCGACGTGCGCACGCGCGCTGTAGTGGACCAGTGCATGTTCTTCAACGCTGGCGTCTTCTTTGCGGCTTTTATGTCGGTTGGGGTGAGTGTCATAAACATAATAAGGAATGTGAAGAAAATGACTGCACGGTTGATGCGGTGGCTGGGCAACCGGCTGCCGTGCAACGTGTCGCGGGTTCGATTCCCGCACGGAACAACACTTTGTGTGATCCACAAATTGTTGTTTCGGGTCTGGGTGTTATGTGTATGTGAACTTGCATGTTTGTAAACGCACCCACGACACAGGAGAAAATCCTAATGTGGGGCAACGTTTTTAGAAAAAAAAATGTCGTAACATTTTAAATTTTTCTAGACTACTTTAATCTGGCACTTGCATAACAGAAAGTATTTTGGTTGACCTGGCTGCTTACTCTTGAAACAAAACTAAATGTAGATGCAATGTCAATCCAATAAAATTTCAATAATTATTCAATGTCAAAACTATACAACCCCCATCGTAGCTGTTGAAATAGCATTTAGAGTACGGAATATGAAGTCAACCTCAATACCATTTAAATCATTAATTATACACGCAGTACAGACGCTAGCGTTGCAACGAAATTTCACAATACCAATGTCGATCGATCGGAATTGGATTCAAGAGTAAGCACCCTGATCTGGCTGGCTACTGTCAGTCCCAATTATTTAACCCTTGGTGTGCCACGTCAGTCACTGGTGCCTGTCGCTAGTGAAGGTTTGACTTTCACCATTTTAAACTTAGCAGTTCAGTGTTAATGGGGGGGGGGGGGGATGGGGGTATCATATTGCCGTACGTTGGACTTCAACCCGCCTCCATGTTACCAACTACTCTAATAGTTCTCTAGGCCCAGGAATCAATCCTTTGGAGCCAAACTCAGCAGGCTCACTTTACCTCTAAATATAACGGAATGAAACTGACTTCGGGATATGGCAATGTGTTCACAACCTATTATATGGGACTCGTAACATAAATAGTAAAACTTCGTAGAGTGGCATTAAATGCCGTAATGTGCACCTCTGCCTATCCTGGGGATATCCTGCATATATTGGGGATCCCGAGCGTACGGCGCGTCGCGTTCCGCGCGCGCCTCAAAGAGCCATCAGACCACCACAGATGGGGCCCAATAGGGCCGATGCCGATTCGGAGTCGCGGAGAACCTAACGGGTAACCGGGGCTCCGGCTCGACGTGCAGGAGAAGGAACGGGGTGGTTTTTAGTCAGTAAGAGTCTGACACTCCCTCCCGCCTCACCCAGGCGGGAGCAGTCATTCGATGATGTTCCCCCCCTTAAAAAAAATCCCTTGCGGATAAAAGGCGTAATGTTATGTAAAAATAACAACAACAAAAAATACATTAATTTAATGCTAATAACAAAAAATCTCTTCACCCCAGCGAGAAACGTTCACGGGCCGTATATACAAGCCAACAGCCCAACACATACAGGAAATAGAGACCTCGTACTCCGTGGTAGACGCCTACCTGCAGGACAGGCCCTACGTGGCCACCGACCGACTGACCTTAGCTGACCTCGCCGTCGGAGCAACGGCCTCCACCGCGCAGGTCTTCATTAAAATGGATGCTGAAAAGTAAGTAGATGTTGCAATAGAATATATCTATATGGCATTGTATCTATAAATCTATAGTTATGTTATTAGTATTTAAACTGTCAAACACCGCGAGGACACCGGTGTCCGCAACCTATTGTTCTTTAATGTCGCGGAGAACCTAACGGGTCGCGGAGAACCTAACGGGTAACCGGGGCTCCGGCTCGACGTGCAGGAGAAGGAACGGGGTGGTTTTTAGTCAGCAAGAGTTTGACACTCCCTCCCGCCTCACCCAGGCGGGAGTAGCCATTCGATGATTATCCCCCTTAAAAAAAAAATGTTCTTTAATTGTGTCTATAATGACGTTACTCAAAGAGTTAAAAGTATTTCTAAACGCCTGGTCGGCGTATTTCGTGACCAGAGGGGCTGGTCTGTTCACAGGTCAGAGGTTAAGCATTGCCATACAATATGGCAATGCTGCCAGCCTTCTGGGTACTTTCCCTGTTGATGTTGATAAGGACGAATTTCATTTTGTTGTAAATAGCTATTTAGTTTTAGTTGTAGATGTTGTGTTATAATTATATAAAATATTCTTTGTTAGTTAGTTTCGATTTCTAAATACTGAAAATATTTTCAGATTGATTAATGCAAGCGGAAATCGGTATAATGTTGGATTTATATTATCACTTTCGGCTTACTCACGTAATTATTTGACGAGGAACTCGACTAGTTTCAAGCCATGCTAGAGGCTCATATTCATGAGTAGCATTCCGCGACACACGACGCGGCGACTGTCGCTCTGCTACTGACACTTGACAGTAGTAGGATATTCGATTGTTTGAAACAAAGAACCAAATTCTTCATCTCTCTCTTTTCTTTGGTGAAATTTGATATTACAACAAATACACGTAATATTATGTTAAGCGACATTATAGTATTATCCAGGTAAGTATAGGCACGATCTTTATGTTTGTCCTAAGATAAAATTTTTGACTCCCTAATACTGAAATTTTAAGCTGTACTCAAATATCGTGCTATCTCTGTCTTTTACAAATTTGTAGTGACAGAAATCTGTTTAAGAGCAATTTATTTGAACATTAGTTAACCTACTTTATCCCATAAGTATTAGAGTGGAATTCTTTGCCAGAGTCTGTATTTCCTGAAGGGTATAATCTGGGTGTCTTCAAGACCCGAGTGAATAGGTTGCTTATGGGACGACGTGCTCCATCGTAGACCGTATAATTGCTTACCATAAGACGAGATAGTGTTCAAACCTCATCAAAATTAAATATAAAAAAGTATCTACACATACCGAGATAAATAATTTTAAACTTTTAATTGCAGATTTCCCCGCTGCGCTGACTGGATATCTCGTCTACATGAGGAGCAAGTATTCAAAACTGTCATGTTGCCCGGCGTCGCTTTCTTTGCGAAAGTCATCAACAAAATCTGGGAGCACAATAAGTCGAAACTAGAAAAGAAATAAATCAATATTTATTATTTATGAAACAGAGTTTAATGTTATTTTGAAAAACCCGATTGGAGGAAAGGGTAAGAAATTATTTATTTTGCATACTTGACATGACAGTATGATGGATGGATCACCAATGGATGATTTTTGAAACTTAATTATAAGCATACATGCAATATACGTAGTTTTTTATGGGATAAGCCCGGTAAACGAGCAGACCGGTCAGCTGATGGTAAGCAATTGGCGCCGCTCATTAACACCCGGAACACCAGAGGCGTTACAAGTGCGTCACCGCGTACCTTAGGATTAGGAATTTGAGGATTGTTGGAGATTGATGGATTGGGGAGTTATAATTTTAAGCACCATCTCTATCTCTCATAATTTCATAATTATAAGGATCACTAATAATAATCTCGTCATATTATTATCTATTAATAGGACAAAATGAAAGAGGGACATTATCAAAACCGACAAAATGAAAGTAGCCAAAAATTATCTAAGAAATCAAATTCATATTAGACTTACTTGAATAAATAGGCTTTGACAGAAATATAGACTTTGACCTAACGATAAGAGAAAGTAATCAATATATAATCATAAAACTGAAATAACTACAAGTTTCATATAATTCCGTATTTAAATGCATAATCTATATATATATAAAAGAAAGTCGTGTTAGTTACACTACATAAAACACAAGAACGGCAGAATAGATTTGGCTGAAAATTGGTAGGGAGGTAGCTTAGAGCCAGGAGACCGACATAGGATACTTTTTGACCAACATTTTTTTTATTACTTTTTACCGAAAATCACGAACGGGGACGGGAAAAAATGGGATTATGCGTACGAAGTCGCGGGCAGAAGCTAGTAATTAATAATTAGATCACTGTTAGAGTGAGGCCCCATTTGTCCGTTGTCGTCGTCGCAGCGTCATTTTCCATAATATATTTTTATGACATGCCCCATTATTGTTACTTCGTCAGATAAGAGATGAAGCGGGAGGGAGAGTGATGCGCTGCATCGACGGACAAGTCATCACATTTGTATTTGAGACGTAGCTGCGATGTCGTGCGTTGTCGAGCGTACCATGCGCTGTTCCGTTGCGACGACGCGACGCGACACAGCGCAACGGACAAAATTGAGTCTTGCCCTTGCATTAATGACATAGTAACAGTGAACTTTGTATCCCTCAGTTATCATTGATTATTAAGATTACATATCATAGTAACAGTGAACTTTGTATCCCTCAGTTATCATTGATTATTAAGATTACATATCATTGTGTAATTGGTTATCTTAAGTTGATAAAAATTGTCACGCTATTTATGTCATATTGATTACCGATCGTGGTTGTGTTTTGTAAGTCTTTTTAATTTCATTTATGTTTTGGTAAATAATTCGGTTTTAAAATTGAATTATTAAAAAGTTTGTTGTTAAATATGTAGCGAGAAATGTAAACTTGTTTTCAATGCCTTCAAGTAACATAAACACACAAAATATCGCATTTATTTCAATAGTAAGGTAAATAAATATTCCAGTGCAATATGGCCCCGATCCTGTACAAGTTGGCGGCGAGTCCGCCCGCGTGCGCCGTCCGCATGATGGCTCACATCATTGGACTCAAACTGGACTATAAGGAACCAGATATTACTAAGATGGAACACAAGTCCCCTGAGTACTTGAAGGTAATAAATAACAATTTTTAACGAAATGCAAACAGTTCAATAGACCCAATGAAGTGTATAAACACTCATCCTTACTAATATTATAAATCTGAAAGTGTGTTTGTTTGTTCCGCTTTCACGCCGTAACTACTAGACCGATTGCTTTGAATTTTTGCAGACGTAAAGTTAGAAGTCCGGATTAAATAATAGAGTACTTTTTATCCCGGAAAATTGTGGTATTCCCGAGGGAAAACAAAGTATTGGTATAGATGGCGCTGTGTGTATTGGTATATGTCACATAAGCTACTTTTTATCCTTTTGTGACGCGAGCGAAGCCGCGGGTAAAAGCTAGTTTTTTATAAATAGTAAAGTTTCCTGACTTTCCATTGCCATAATAACAAAAGGTTTGTCCAATTTTGGGTAGTCCATTTCAAATTAGGATGTTATTAATGTAATGTGAGAGGAATTTTCTTTTTATAATTTCTTTTTGTTTTTGAATAATTGCAGTTGAACCCGTTGGGAACGATACCGGTGTTGATAGACGACGACTTCATCTTGTCTGACAGGTAAATCATACATTTCAATTAGTTTGAAAGTGTTTAACGACTGAATAAGTGTCAACAAACAAACGATATTAGCTCAGCATCGCACCAAACAGAAGTATAATTATATCGAAAAACTGATGTGTGGCGCCATCTATTGGCATACTTTATGATAGATTAACCAATTAAGTTATTCATGCTTTGCGTCAATAGGCACTGATGAGAATATTTCCGACTAGTTGACCCACCAAACTTTGTAGCGCCTAAATATTTTTCTTACCTTTTAAACCTCTACCTGGCCTTCCACAAACATTTCAAGGCTAAAATGAAACATATCGGTTCAGTCGTTCTCGAGTTTTAATGAGACCAACAAACAGCGATTCATTTTTAATTAGATAGATGATTTACTGCTTCGTTGGCCGAGTGGTCGCAAGTGCGACTGCCGGGCAAGGGGTCTCGGGTTCGATTCTCGGGTCGGGCAAACTATTACTGGGTTTTAAAAAATTCTCAGTAGTAGCACGGAGTCTAGAATTGTGCCCGGTATATGGCAATAGGCTCACCCCCTATTACGTGGGACTCATAACATAAATAGTGAAAAGTGGGTGTTACATTGTACAGTGGCATAATGTGCACCTCTGCCTACCCCTTCGGGGATAAAAGGCGTGATTTTATGTTTATGTTTATAGAAGATTTAGTAGGAAATTCAACTAAATTTATAAGAAACTTTACTCCAAAATCCAGACTAATACATACATAATCTCATCTCCCGTAGGGGTAGGCACAGACTATAGAACGCCAATTGCTACGATTTATACATACCTCTTTCGTTTCATCAACAGTCATCAGTAGTTTCATGCATGCTCGTTAATAATAAATAATTATATTTAGATAATTAATTATCATTTGCAGCCACGCAATAATGATCTACCTACTATCGAAGTACGGCGGTGAGCGCGGCGAGCGATTGTACCCGAGCGACATTCGCACACGAGCTGTCGTCAACCAGGTCATGTTCTTCGACACCGGGATACTCTTCGTCAGGATCAAAGTTATTGCTGTGAGTATTTACTGTGGATAATCTTTTTAAAGAGGTATCTATTAATGAGAAGGAGTACAAACGAAAGAGGTACGTAAGGATCGTAGCTATTGGCGTTCTATAGTCTCTGCCTACTCCCATGGAAGACAGGCGTGAGGTTATGTATGTATTAGTCCGAATTTTGAAGTACAGTTGCTGATTTTTTTTGAAACGTTGCCCCACACTAGGATTATCTCCTGTGTCGTGAGTGCATTTACAAACACAAGTTCACATACACATGACACCCAGACCAGGAACAACAATTTGTGGATTACACAAAGTGTTGTTCCGTGCGGGAATCGAACCCGCGACACCGCACCAACCGTGCAGTCATTAATTTTAGTTAGATTTCCTATTAATTAAATTTCAAGATTTTATTAATAAAATCTTAAAATTCAAGAGTGTAAATTCCTAAGTAAAAACCGACTGCGGTTATTAGCATGGCATCTGAAATTGTGCTCTACACGAGACTCACGTCATCACTAGTTAATTCGCCATAAATTCATTCAGTAGTTTTGGCGTGAAAGAATATGTATGGAATATCCATTCTAGACATATATTTTATTCGAAAACTTCTTCTAGGGCCATTTACACAGTTAAGCACGCCTATTGGGTACTTGCCGTTGCCAACTAGTCAAATTCTGTACTTTTTTTAACTGTTTAAAATGACAGTTTTCTAAGAATTTTGTACTATATTGTGTACTGTGACGTCACGTTTCTTTAACGTCAAACAGCGTACTTATTTCAAAATAAAAACTGCTTGAAAAATACTAAAATTAAGTTGGTAATAAAATCAATGAATGGAAGTGTGATTATTTTTTAATATTTCATTGTATTGAACAGTCGAACTAATTTATTTTTGATTTAGGAAAGTACTCAATTAATAAATATATGATATCGTTAGAACAATTTAGCATAGAGTATGCTCCTGCTGATAATTGAGAGAAATAATAATTTAGTAATATTTTCAGCTGCCAACAATAATGGAAGGTATGAAAGCACCTACAGAGAAGCACCTGAATGACTTAGAGGAGGCCTACGGCATGGTGGAGGCCTACGCGTCGAGGTACAAGTACATCGCGGCCGACCACCTCACCATCGCCGACCTGTCGCTGGCCATGACCATGGGAGCTGCACAGGTTCTGCACAAACTGAACCATAAGAAGTAAGATATTATTTATTTCATATTACGCAGTACCCACTCTCGCGCGGTTTCACCTTCTACTCGATTATAGCGTGATGTTTTTTATAGCATTCCTCGATAAATGCACTTTCCAACATAAAAATGATAATTTAAATCAGACTGGTATCATTGGCCAAGTGGTAGCAAGTACGATTGCCGGGCAAGGGAGGTTCGATTCCAGGGTCCGGCAAAGTTTTACTGGGGTTTTTTTAAATCTCAGTGGTAGCACGGAGTCTGGAAATGTAGCCGGTATATGGCAATAGGCTCACCCCGTATTACATGGGACTCATAACATAAATTGTGAAAAGTGGGTGTTACATTGTATGTCCTCTGCCTACCTCTTCGGGGATAAAAGGCGTGATGTTTATGTTATGTAAATCAGACCATTAGTCCCCGAGATTGGTGCGTCCAAACAAAAAAATAAACAGAGTCTTCAGGTTTATTACATTAGTATAGATCTATAGTAGCTCCTGCCAGCACTTCGCTCGCATTATAGGGACTAAAAGTAAGACTAGGTGTGGGTTATTGTAAAAATATTCTTGTGTTAAATA